GTTTGTGAGAACAACTTTCCTTTTAGAAAGGCCAAGGAAGTTAAGAATGATACCATAAGAACATTATTAAGGCTGTCCAGTCAGCTGTGCAAAAATGAAGAAATGCCAAGATACAGGTTGTCTCTGCACGTACATCTTGACATTTTTGTGTACCATTTTTCCCATAATTTTACTTGGAGTTCACCTGAATATCAGTAGTTTCCTTGTTAATGATTAAGGAGTAAACTTTGGAGTTAGTTGTAGTATTAAAATTGATCCTTTTTTTAGATGTTTTATAGATTCTACCTATTCAGTTGATCCACCAACTTTTGGATAGGGTACTTATTATCTAGCAGTGTAAGTATCATCTTCAGCACTTGAGGGTGAAGAACCAAAAAAAGTAGAGGAGAAAACACCTGGAACTTGTTAGTCTGGTGCAGAGGAATATTTGTAGCATACATTCAGCTTAGCAAAAAGCTACCTACACACACAACAGCCTATGCGCACAGTCCTTTCCTGCTAATATACTAACCCCTCTACTTATTCCCCAGAAGCAAAAGTGTCATTCCTTGGAGGGTGGAATAGAGGCTTTTTTTACTGGAGTGTTGGGAGTAAAAGTGTCACGGGAACTTATTTCAATATAGAGGAGTATATGAGAGAATGCAGGGGAAAGAGAGGACAAACAGGTGATTTTTATGGTAAATATATAGAGTGGTTGGAGAGAGAATTTATTGCTAATAAAAATGGAAAGTTGAGAAATATTGGGGGATGCAATAACATGAGTGACCAAAACGCTACTGAACTGCAAAAATACATATCATTCATGTTAGAATATCTGTGAACTGACAAAATGTCAGAAGCTAACTAGTCCCATGAGGGTACAGATGATTCTCAGAAGAAACATCGGTTCCCGCAAGGCATCCTATCAGCTTATTGCCTTTCTGTAAAGGGTGCTTTGTGCTTGAGGCAAAAGGAGGCAGGTAGGGACATAACCAATCTCTCAAGAAGGAATACAAAAGAAAACATTCTGTCATTAAAGAAGGTATTTTGACCAGTAACACATTCATAAGAAAGAAGAGGGCGTGCTCCAGCTATTTTCATAAGGAATATAGGATCAACATAGACCCTCATTTTCCTCTATTTTTGTGATTTTTTTTTTTAAAGGAAATTGCAGGTGGAACTTCAATATGCTCAAATATGCTGTTAAAATCAAAGCATGGTTATAAACAGGGAGAAGATGACTAGGCTTTTAAGTTAGATGCAAAGAATCTATATGAAATGTGTTAGGGATGAGGAAGAAACTGAACTCTAATGAGCCCAAATAAAAATAATATAATTGATCCTCTATAAGCAGAAGGTATAAAAGAAAAGGAGATCTTAAGGTCTTCCTGTCTTAGGTCACTGTTAGAGTGATAGGATACTGGACACTTCATATGGTCTAATTATGCAGCAGTCTTGGGCTTTTGGACTTAAAGTTCCTTAGGGAAAAAGGACACGACCTAGAGAACAAATTATGAGTTAAAAGATATGATAGTCTTTGATGCAGTACAAGAGGAAGTGTTAGATATTTTACTAAAAATGCTAATGTGAAGGTAACAGATATAGCTGTAATGAGGGGAGAAGTTGTTACTGCCTCAGGTAAAGTATACTGAGAAGGCAGAGAAGCATAGATGAGGCAAAGATAGTGAAATAAAATGTAAAGAAAAATAAACTTTCAGGGGCTAACTGAACAATCAGAACTTGTTTCTTCATTTATTTTTTAAGAAAATGTAGATAAGACTTTTTATTATTTGAATAATATTTCTAACTGAAAGTACAAAGCCCATGAATCAGAGACTGGAAACTTAAAATTACAAAGAAATGGGTGCATTGTCTTGTGTATTAGGGAAAATTGGAAATTTCAAATAAAAATACATTTTACATATTCCACTCCTTTCTCTACTTATGTGGAAACCAAACATCAACGCAAAAGATGAAGGTAACTCTTAAGAAGGAATATGTAGGCAATGAGATCTGATAGATCTCTCTTTATGAAGATTCAGGATGTTTTGCCTTAGGAAACAAAGTAGTGAGGCAGTTGGCCTTAAGCTTCGTAAAAGAGCACTCTTATGGAATTAAATCTAAATAGCAAAGGGCATTTTTGCATACAGTGGCAAGTGAGAAGTCCAGGGAAAATCCATACTCCTCTGGAATGCAGCAGATATTGAAACTGCTCCTGACCATTCCTCAGATTTGCTTGCCGTGATGGCAACAGTAATGTCAAAACTCTAAAAAATCATAATACATGTAGGCATAAGGAAAGATGGAGTCATAGTATGTGGCTGGAGAAGACAGCAAAAAATCTGTAGATAAAGAAGTGCTGGAATATATAGTAAAATATTATTTCAGAAGATTTCTAATGATAAATAAGGAAACAATATCTAGGAACTATAGAGACTTATCTGTGAATAGATACAAACTTTTGATGAATTTGTTCACATAAGTTAAATATGCGCCTGGAAGAAAAAGAACAAAATAAAGAGGAAGGCTGAAAATTGATATGGCAAAAGCTATCAGTTTCTCTGTATCAATCTGAAGAAAATCCAACTTCAATGCCTCTAGCAAAACTTTGTAACCATTCCTCACAGATAC